TAGTGACGAAATCTTGTGGAACATAAACTTTACAGTTCTGAATTGGATTCGCTGCGAACAAATATATATATATATATATATATATATATATATATATATATAACATCTTTGAACTATGTAACCCTATACTAAGAGCGATATATATACATATCTATTTATAGATTATCAGTACTGCAACCACGCGGTTACTTTAAGATTTTTTACTTACAAGTTTTGCATACATGTCGAATCGCATGACGAAAAATAAAAAGGGAATTTATGGAAATACAATTAACTTCTTTCAATTTTTGTTTTAGAATGTTTTTATGTTCGTGGATAACCAAATGAACTTTGGATATCTGATCGACGCCAATAACTATACGAAAGGTAAACTGCACAACGACTTGTGGCAAACGATGGACAATCCTCAGGTGAGTCTGAAAACCCGGCATGTTCATTATTTCTTTTTTGAAATATAACTTATTACAGTCACCAAAAAGAAGTTCATCATTGATACAAGTTATATTTAAATTTATCGACGTTTAATTACATACAAAAACCAGTAATGTGTTAGTTACATAAAATATACGAATTCGCTTCAGCAGATGAGTTTTTTCGTAATAAATATTGTATGTATAAGCACTTTCAGGAGCAACAAGGGACTAAAAACAGATCTACAAAAGAAAAACATTCTGATAGAAATCAGCGCAGCCCTGTCTGCGCATTATCAGAATCAACAGCCAAACAATCATTGTTATAAACTGTGTAGATAAACAAAGATGACAACTGATTCATTTTGTAAGCAAATATTACCGTCAGAAATTGTGATTATTAACTACTCTAAACATTGTAGCTACACTTTCCTAATAACCCGAAATTAACTTTAAACAGGACTGGGAAGAAAAATACATACACCCGCAATACTTCAACTTTGCGAAACCTGAAGTGACAATGACAGATATTCCTCAGCCATGCCCAGACGTATTTTGGTTTCCTTTAGTATCAGAAACTTTCTGCAAACATCTTATCGAAGAAGTAGAAAACTATGGACAATGGTCTACAGGCGATAACTATGACCCACGACTGGAAGGAGGATACGAAAATGTACCGACAAGAGATATTCACATGCGCCAAATTGGTTGGGAGGAGCACTGGCTGCATGTTCTAGAAAAATACGTCCATAAGATGCAAAAGAAACTCTTCCAAGGATACGACGATAAGGTAGGTACTCTTCAATATGAAATAATGCACACATCTAACGTCTGATAATAACTGATTTTGTCTGTACATTATCGTAGCCATGGGCCCGTATGAATTTCGTCGTCAGATACAAACCAGACGAACAACCTTCCTTGAGACCTCATCACGATGCATCTTCCTACACAATTAATATTGGACTAAACCAGCCTGGAAAAGACTACAAAGTGAGTAATTCTTGACGGCAGTAAAGCATTTATTAGAGCAGAGAATTAAACTCATTCCTTTCATTTACAGGGAGGTGGGACACGTTACAATCGATACAACTGCTCAATCGTCAATACACGTGTTGGATGGGCAGTAGTTAGTCCAGGAAGAGTGACTCATCTACACGAAGGACTAGCAACGACAGAAGGAACAAGATACATCTTCGTTACCTTTGTCAATCCCTAACTTTGTCCCGTTTGTACGTTTTTGTTTGGAAAATTACATTTAATGGTAATAAAAGCTTTGTTTTGATGATCGCATGCATTACAGTAATAACGCAAAAAGTTGTAACTGTCTTAACTACGCATACCTCGAATAGCTAAAAAAGACAAACTGATAAACTTACGATCAATCGTTTCATGTTCAAATATTTTCTTATTAGTGGACGGATTTCTGAATGAAATTCACAATACAGTTGCATACTGTCTTAGTACAAATTTCGAGTAATTTTATTTCTCTTTATCAATCCAAGCTGCAGTAATCCTGAAACTAGAAATTCGAGGTTTCTTGAGATGTGAATGATTTCAGGTAGCATGCGCCTAGACATTCTCACTAGCTCTTTCAGAAAATTCAAAGCTCACATACATTGCGACCGACAATGACTTACAACACCTGTTTTCACGAAAGTTCAAAGCGCCACGACGCTACGTAAGGGTCGATTACGTCAAAACAAACGAAGCTGTCGAGATGAGTATAGTTTCGTTAAATATATTCAGTTGGAGGGAACCACCTAAATATCCGGTGAAATGACTGATTTCAGTAACAGCGTTCAGGTCTTGCGTAATTCTCAGTATTTCGTAATTTATTTTCATTGTCCACAAAAAATTATTTCGGAATAACTTCATGTCAATTCTTCATTTTCATTACTCCTCTGTATAATTTCTTAACATTAGAGTATTCTATTTTCTTATTTGCCATTCATACAACTGTAAAAGAAAGACAAAATGAATCATAATTCTTGACTATATGTTTATTTCGTATCATATGAGAGTGAACAGATGAAGGAATTGTATTACAGACAAGTGATGAAACAGTCGTACACTGAAGCAGAAATGCATCTCAGTAAAAATGAGTTTAACACAAATGTTGTCAGTGTTTAGTAACGCCCTGAAGGAAAACATCAGGTTAAAATGCAGCGCTACTTACGATCATAGCTACGCGAACGAGACCTTGAACGAGAATAACGTCCACGTGGAGAAATACTTCGTCTCCGAGGAATAGGGCGTCTAAAAAAGGATCGAAAGCTAACTTATTCCTGAAAGATAATAACCACTAGCATGGTAACATAAATTGAAAAACACAATTAACGAAAATGGACAACTGCATAATTTGAGAAACACTTAAGAAAAAAATCATTAACAGAGAAAAACTGTTATGAAATTAGTAAAAAAAAGGAAGCCCTGATAAGGTTAAACACCTAAAATAGCGAAACTATTTTGAGTTACTCCATAGAAAATGAGGAATTGAAATACAGATAGGCATTCTAACGGATGATGCTATCTGAGCTTGGGATATTTAAAAAAAACAAAGAAAACCACTAGGAATACACATTATTTTACCAACAATGAAGGTATGTAGAATTAAATTTTAGGCTGAAAATTGGCGAATATGAAGCAAAATGCGATCAGTCTACTGAAACTGTCTCATTCGTTTTAAAGATAAAATACTTAAAAAGGCAGGAAGACGTAAAGGCAAACTTCAACAAAACAGGAGTAATTTAAGGGTCGTGGAAATAGTTGAGTTATAATGAAATTATGAACCGATTAATGTTAGAACACCGCTGAAAGCCTGTAAATCTAAACGGTTTTGTTCAAAATTATATGACAAGTATATGGAAATTACAGAACCTAGTTGAGTACCTACCTAGATGGTCGCCCCATATATATGCCGGGGGTAGGCGAATGTGGTCGTTCAGTTATGCTGAAATCACACCTAATAGGTCGTCCATCAATTTCCATTCCATGCGCATCGGCCTTTGCAGCTTTTGCGTCAGCAACGTGAGTGAAATATACAAAACCAAATCCACGAGAGCGACCTAAAGATTACATAAAGAAGAGGTAACAAACCCGTGTAGTTATCGAAGACTAATTGGACATCTTCAATATTTCCGTACTGCGAAAAAATATCGTAAAGGTTCCTTTCTTGAGTGTGAAGTGATAAACCAAAGACACCAAGACACCTGGAAGGAGTAGGATTTTCTCGAGGTCCAAGAAACCTCCTGAAATTAAATAACAGCACAACCAGCGTAAATAATACGAAAGATGAAATCTCATGACAAAAATAATATTTAATTACCAAGTAATACTGCATGAGTTGTCTCGAACACATTTGTCATGAAAAACGTGCAAACGGCAGTTCCATTACATTAACACGCCATTTTATCTATGGAGAAATTGCTGAGTAGTATGGATGCCAGATAGTGACGCGAACATTCGTCAGATTTCATAGAACGATTAGGAGGCTACGACCTACTGACATTAGTTTATTTGCAACGGGATTGAGACATGTAGGCGTATGCAGATAAGTTAGTTCTGTACGAATAATTATCGTGACTGCTGACCAATGATGGCTGACGGCAGCCCATGATTGTTTGCACTTGTAAATATGTGTTCACTGTTTCCTGATGTATTACAAGCACCAAGATCTCCGTTTGTTTAAAGGTTTATCTACTATCTATGGCACTAGTTTGAAAATTGTTTATATAGTAAAACCTTGATATACTAATTTGATGTAACACAATCCAGGTTTCACATCCTACGTCTAAGTCATATATGAACATACATAAACACGCATAAGCGAGTGTGAATCCGGAAATATAATTAGTTTTTAAACTATCTTCGAGACTAATACTTGTGTTCATTTGCTAGAGTTTCTAAGAGGCACTGGTATGTAATATGAATAGGCAAACAAGTAATTATTAACTCATCAATATCATAGTTAATCAACTGACCGTACCTAGGTGCACATTCTGGAAAAAAAATTTACACTTCTCTAAAGTATGGCTTTTGACGTTAAACAGTTAACTACTGTCAGCAGTACAATACAGTTAGAACGACTTGACAAGTTAGAGACAGACAAAAAAGAATATATGAGCAGGTTTAAAATGAATGATTGGGAATCGGTAAACTACTTTGGTTTCGGTCTATCTGTTACAGAATTACAAGAAATCTAATGTAAAGTGAGTGTTTATGTATTAGATATGAAGTAAAATACTTGAAAGGATGTACGACTTACTTTCGACCTGAACTTCTATATCCGTAGCCAGGGCTGCGACGATAAAAGTCACGACTTCCGCTGCGACTTCTATAGCGACGCGAGTGCGATCTGAAATGTGCTTGCATGCATTATTAACTCACTTGGAACGAGATCGAGACCGACTGTATCGACGACTCCTGGGTGATACACTATTTCTATAACCGTTTGAAGTAATTGGCGAGTCCGTCCTACGCATGACGACAAAGAGACTACTGAACTTTGAAATCGACCGCCAGTAACCAGGATAACAGTCATTTCAAACAAAGTAATCCTGTGGAAAATTATAAACAGGTAAGGCTGTTATGTGGATCGAAATTCAGTATCAAACGTATACTTACTGGTTGTTATTAGAATTTTTAATTCATTGTGTTTTGCGCGAAAAGCGAAATTTTACTTGCGATTGGAAGTCAGTTGTTTTTCTGTTTTTAATTCATGATAATCAAGATAGATATTTTGGTGTCGTCGGCTAAAAGAGGCTATGAGATGCATTGTGACATCTATTTGATTTTGTACTTGGCTTATATCTGTCTAGGTAATTTGAAACCGTGTTAAAATCCTGCTCGTTTCTAAATAAGATGTTGTGCAAATTACAGTGGTCTGTGATATAAAGACAAACTAGAAATGCAATATTGTTAACACCTGCTTCTGTCGTATGATTCATCCTTGTCTAATTTCGGCGATTATTAGTTGGTATCCGTATGCCAAGTTTAAACTATTTTCGTTTCGAAAAAGCTGGTTTTATGGCTACTGGTACTGCCTCGATCTCAATGAACACTTCAGCTTTTCGATATGAAAAGTTTTACCTACTAAGGCTTAGTCTTCAGTATTAAGTGTTGTAGGTCAAACAATTTATTTTTTTTCTTCCGTTCTTAGTGGTGCGATTATCCAACCATCTTTTGAATGTATCAGCAAAGTTTCGCCACAATTATTTATATACCTCACGACAGATGACCCTGTTAGGATTAATTTCTGACATCAACCTATCCATCTGATCCAGTGAATTCGAGTCCAGTAATATTATCCTGTCGGTTATACACTATATAGATCTTCAAAAGCTAATATTTATAACCAGGGAATGGCACAGATAACTTTGTCAAGTCATTTACCTTAGGGGATTATGCTCTTATAAAGTTGTCATGTTGACAAGTCTCTCTTTGTTCATAGCTGTGGCCCTCACCCATGTCATTGAGAAACTCACTTGTTCCGTTACTAACAGATCGCAAAACTTTCCAGTTTTAATTTAGACTTAGGTGAGAGACAGACGAAACTCAACTAGTCATTCAGCTACAACGTAGGATCGGGCACATATGCATCAGTCCAAGTTGCCACACCTTATTAGAATAACAAGATGAACACGAAATTCATAGAAATAGTTACTTCACTAATAAGGATAGGTCTATCGACCTATATTGATCCTTGTAGTGACACTGTAGAGGTTCAATCTCGTTTTGAATATATTAACCGAAGGTGCTACTACTACGTGTTCCGGCAGTGACTTACAGTAATCCACTACTCGGTGCAAGAAATGAAACTCCAGACGTAGACGATTTGATCTCGGCTTGTGAACCTTCTTCAAATGTCCTCTCAAATGATCAGTCCTATACGGAATTAAAAGATAAGACGTTAATACCATGGTCATCGTTCAGCCAGGTACATTGAGCACCCTTGGAGTAAGTTTAAAATTGTTAGGATTGCTTCAACCAGATTATTGTATTAGTAAGATCGGTAACAAAATCAAATATATTCTTGTGATGAAAGTAAACCCTAGTCATTTTAATAATTCAGTGGTTGTTGAAATCATCAATAACTTTCTTCAATTTGGTCGTCAGCATAAGAGAGTTTTTTGTAGGTTATCACTACTGTGTTATAAAGGGATATGCCTAGGGACAATAAATTGTCAAATACTAGATTACAATGCACCAGTATAGTAACATTAATATTTGCTTCAAAATTGTTTTTAGCATACGTATTTCAGATCCACTCGCACTAATATTCCAATCAGCTTTGTCATTCAGAATGTAATGAGTGCCCCCAAACGCCCTGGTACGGCCGAGAGTGGGGAGAGTCCGCTCTCCCTCTCGAAATACTCTCACATGGCCACGCGTATATAGCCTCTGCCAGGGAAGTCCTACTCACTGCCTTCTCGTGGCCGGGGTGTTGTTTACGAAAATGAGAGGACGAAAAGCGAATGTCCGGCGCTTTAACCGGATCCCAAACCAATGGTGCACATGGGCTCCAGTATCCTGAAGGAACAAATGGCGTATGAACCAATCGTTGGTCACCGGCTACCATGGGACTGCATCTCCTTACGATGCTCCACTGTCTTGTGGATCAGATCTTTAGGTCGAAGGCTCGGGGTGTGGCTCCTAAGAAAACCACCTGCTTCGGTTTGGGCACGCGGGCAGTATCACAGCCCTCACACATATCAAATGAGATATGTGTGGCGCATATGTATTTGGTGCTTCCTTGTACCAATATCTATGTGTTAAAATAAAAATAAATGTAATGAGTAGGTTAACTAAAATAATAGAACTGTCTAACATTATTGAAAAAATAACCTAGACTATAGAACTAAATCGTAAGCAATTTTTTGCGTACATATCGTGATAGCTTTCACTCATCAGCTAATCATACCATTCATTAATAATTTGCACAACGAATTCGCTTTCTCAAACGACACGCTTGTACTTTCTGTTTTCGTCGGACGTTATTTTTAGCTGGGTTTAAATGTATCATTATATGATAACCTTAAGTTAGCACATTAACATAAACTAGCGTATTTCACTCTCTTCATCACCTGGTCTAAATAACCTCTTTTTCTAATTTTTTTAGGTCCGAATTTAGGAAAAATATTAACTTGTGGAAAATCGTGTCCCGCTCAGCTTCATTGTTAATATGTTCATTCCATAAATTTAAATTATTTGAATAAACTTTCTGGTCTGTTTTTTTTTGAGTGTAGCGACCACAACGCTAACAAAAAGGAATCGTCGACAAAGAATCAAGGTAGCTGTTTTTTTTGGAAAAGATCACTCCAGTCAATACACGCTCTTAGCTTGTTATCGGTGTAGCATTAGTTTCTCTGAAGACAATCAGTTCAATTGGATTACTCACTTTTGCGAAGGTTCTCCTCACCTGGTTAAGTTAAACTGTACATTCTCGATAAACTAACTAGATGCTGTTCTATCACTTACCGCGACATTTTCTTGGGTCTTTTGGCAGACGTTCTTTCTCTAAAATATCATTTTGCTATTTCTTGAAGTGGGATCCTTGTATAACTTTTCAACAAAAACTTACTGTACATGGTCCTTACCGTAATCGTTACACTCATTACAAAAATGCATATCCTAGAAAACTAGAAACTTATTACGACGTATACTACTTTGGCGCTTTAACGTGTTTAATTTTGCTATTTATTTCTGTGGGGTAAGCTTGCATGTATTTTTAATTATTCTTCAGCTTCCCTTATGCAGAACGAATGGCTTATAAGCCCCACAATGAAAAAGGTACAGAGAGGAAGGTGTGTTTACTTTTTATTGAGTTAACTTATTTCAGGCATGTAATGTGACAAATGTCAAATGTCAATCAGAGGTTTCTGACACAGATGAGGAAGAGCTACATCAAAACGACTCTGTAAGAAAAAAACATGCTGGATTTCGGGACAGGAAGGTACTTATTAACTTTCGTCAACCGTTTTGTATTCAGTTAATAAACCTGCGTAACTTAAAGGTGGCTTATTATATTTTCTTTGTTCATGTTCATTCTATTCATCTGAAAGCATACTTTCCGAAAGTTTTTGTCTGAATGTGTGAGCTATTTCTCACACGAATATTTAAGTATTTCGAAAATATCTAACCAAGATTTACTTGTTTGTTGGTAAATTATGTTTTGTGGTTGCAAAGTGTCTTAGTAACTCATGTTTTCTTCTGGTTTTCTTTCTCTTTCCAGTGGCAACATGAGTCAGAAAATAAGAACTTATGTTAGAGATGTAGAATGAAGTTAAGAAAGTGAATCTGCTTGTTTGATTGTGACCGATCCTAAGCTATGTCACTCATGACTTATGCCCATCGTCCCCAGGATTTTATCCTAGAACTTCATATTTCTCCATACTCGTTCCGAATAGTCAGTGGCGCTATCTATTGTTGACATATTTGAGTCTAACTTTACTTACCACGAGGTACATAAAATAATAAAATATATATAACTCAAGAATGAATAGGAGGGTAATTCTGCAAAATTCATCTGAATTGTTTTTGAAATATATTGCTCAAAAGTTGTAGCAGTTTACTGACAGTGCTTTCCGGTAACAAGTTGGAAAGTTAGTAGACAGAGGCACCAAATTTATTTTAACACATAGATATTGGTACAAGGAGGCACCAAATACATATGCGCCACACGAATCTCAATTGATTTGTGTGAGGGCTGTGATACTGCCCGCGTGCCCAAACCGAAGCAGGTGGTTTTCTTAGGAGCCACACCCCGAGCCTTCGACCTAAAGATCTGATCCACAAGACAGTGGAGCATCGTAAGGAGATGCAGTCCCATGGTAGCCGGTGACCAACGATTGGTTCATACGCCATTTGTTCCTTCAGGATACTGGAGCCCATGTGCACCATTGGTTTGGGATCCGGTTAAAGCGCCGGACATTCGCTTTTCGTCCTCTCATTTTCGTAAACAACACCCCGGCCACGAGAAGGCAGTGAGTAGGACTTCCCTGGCAGAGGCTATATACGCGTGGCCATGTGAGAGTATTTCGAGAGGGAGAGCGGACTCTCCCCACTCTCGGCCGTACCAGGGCATTTGTGGGCCTAGCTATATCTTAACACTCAGGTTCTTTCCACCTATTTGGTATAAAGCGAGAATGTATCAGGACCTGATGGGATAACTACATAGGTTTGTTAGTGGTGTTTCAGTTAGATAATGTATGCTGACTAAGATAATAGCTAGGAAGATAACCATAGAGGAATCGGTTCGACGCCTGAGGCTCACGTGTAAAAACGTTGGGAAAACCAGGTTAGGTTAAACCTAGTCGTGAATATATCACCCAAATGTTCAACTTTTTTCAGATTTTTGAGTTTGTATTTTTTACTTTGAGGTGACATGTGACTCCGTCGATCAAGTGGTTTTGTGTTAACTCTTGTTATCAGAAGACTTACTGAAGTATACAAACCTTCTGACGGCTTGATACTCCAATGCAATTGATTGAATTAATGCTTATAGCAAATGGACATCGGAATTAGTCACTTCCTGCAGTGTTCGTTAAAGATGCCCATTATCTACACTTTTATTTAGTTTTTTATAGCTGTCTCCCCAAAAATACACTTGATTTACCTAACTTTCTGGGCATTGGTCTCCCTTGAAATTCACTCACTGATTTGGAGTACTAACGACATAGAGTCTATTGAACGCCTTGGTTGCCAGTGTAAGGATATTTGAGATATATTTCTTCTCCTCTAATTGCATAATGCTTTTCCAGAGTTGGTTTGTTTCAACATAGGTAGTGATCACAGGAAGTGTAGTAGTTAGACTTTTTGACAATATTCCTTATCCTGGTATGGTGCTACTGCTTGTCACTAGACTTCACTCAAACAGCGTTACCTAAAGCATTATATAACCCCGTATTTGGTCAATGAGTTACATTAATAATAAATCCAATATCTTTGTTAAATACGAAAACATCTGATACTTCAAATCTTCACTATTGCCTCGTGTGCAACTTTATACTTTTTGTCATTTACCAGTTTATCATTGGGGGAATATTTGTGTGTTAACTTTTTGTGCATCAGACCAATTTACTAAGAGGCAAAGTAACAGTTCTTTAATATTTTGCCTTTTTCCTATCACCTCATTAAATTGCTGTATAACACCTGTCTTTAAGTAATAACAAATTATTTGTGTTTAGGAATATATTATTCATAACTAACAAATTGCTTTTAAAATCCTAGTTCATTGCATACGAAAACCGAATTCGAGCCTATTCTACACCTGACAAAATCTTCCGATATTTTGCAACTCTTAAGAGCATAGAAGAAGATAACGAAACAGTTTACATGACTCCTGAAGACTTCCTTCGTTCAATTACCCCAGGTATTAAACAACCTGATGGTTTAGATTTAGATTCATTTAAAAGATATGACCCAAAGGTTAGTTATAAAATATTGATTATTTACGGGGTATTACTTTAAAAAATTTTATCACCAAGTACAGTCAAGTCGTAATTTTTTTCAAAATATAACCCACTTTTTTCATCAAACAATTATAACATGTGTTATTATCGGTTATGAATATAATTCTGTAGTATGGCAGAAATCTTCATGGATGATAAACTAGAAAATGTGTACATCTCATTAAGTTGTACTTTAGCTCATTTTTCATTTATCTAGATCTTCTATTACTATCAATCCTAAATATGTTTTCATTGTGGAAACATTGCAAGTTACACACTTTGCTTTCCTTGGTTAGATTTACAAATGTTTGTCTACATAAAAGAAGCGTAAGGCATGCCCAGGAATTTATTTTCCCTGTAAGTAATGACTTATTTAATAGATATTTTTTACACTTACGGTCACGGCACTACTTTTTCCATTGCCGTCGAAGAGGTCTTTATTCTAAGTATGTCAGAACCATTGGGATCTACATAAGTTCATCTGCCACTATCACAGAGAAAAATGTACTTAAGTTCTTCATCGTACTTTTTCCATCCGCAACATAGACAGAAATTCATTTTGCGCCTTAAGCTCTTGTATTTGAAATTTAACTTTACCTTTCGATTTAAACGTGTCGTTTTATTATTTTCATGTGTTATTTACGCCCAGCTTTCACGTTAACTCACATTCTTTTCTTTTGACCTATAGACGGGATTAGTTTGGTTCCGTAACAAGGTTAGTCCTTTGTTGGCTAGAATGTTTTATGTTAAGCTAAGATCAGTCATTGTAAGTTGAATTAACTGAATTCCTTAGTTTGTTGGTGTGAGTTTAGTAATCTTGAGTTCTTTCCTATGAGACTACTCACTAATGTATTCATAATCTATATACTCGATATCTTCAAAGAATGTTATTGCATATCAAAGGTTAAAAACACAAACTGAAATAATTAACTGTTGGTACGTTCACCGCGATTGTATTTATAGGATTTTATGTTTCGCAATACATCAAGAGTTCCCGTATTACGAATTAAAATAACATATATAAGCAAACAATATTGTTCTCAATGAGGTCTTCATCAGGCTTGAATATAACTAAACATGATAATTGAAAGGTATAAATTGATAATATGATGACAGATGTACTAGTTGTGGTAAGAATAATAAAGGCTCTAAATCACTGTTTCACAATGGGAAGTATGTTAGGAAAAAAAATTTGAAAAAAATAGACTGAAATAATATTCATTAAGAATTATTAAAGTTCCGTAATAAGAAATGTTCAAATAATTAGACAATGAAGGAAGATTTTACAAATCTCTTCAGAATACAAAGACTTTGGTTGCTAGCATAAATTTCTGTAACTTGTAAAACAAATCAATAAGTTGGGTTAAATTACTCTTCTCCAGTTTTATTTATTTTCGTGGAACTTGGCTGTTGGTTAAATGGTCTGGGCTTCTGGCCTAAACTTTTTGTATATACACTGACCATCCCATTGTAAGCTGTTCGATCCAATTACATTAATGTCAGTTGGTGACGAATACCTTATGAAGTTATAAGTCTAACTCACAACATTAGCCCAAATCGTAATATATAAAAATACTCTTTTTCATGTACGATAATTGATAAAATATAAAGGATTATTTATCGTATCAAAACTATTATCCCACTGTAATGTTATTGCCTTTTATTGCTAATTGCTTTATAACTGAATAATGTTTCCTAACTAATAAGGCCCTCAAGATTGTCAGTATGGTATACTTTTACCAAATATATTACCCAACTATTATTAA